CACCCCCCCCCCAAAAAAAAAAAAAACAAACGCTGAAGTGCCCTCCCAAAAATCTGAGTGGCATAAAGCCTACATCCTAGCACAAGAAATCTACTACTTAAGCTAAAAATACGTTTTAACGAAGTACATTTCACCACACGAAGCAGTTATATTATCTATAGTATTCATTGTTATTGCTTGTTAAACATTAAGAACATTATGTTCTCAAAATACACAATAATACACAGAAAAATACACAGCAGTAGTTCACGAAACAAAGGAATGTTAATTTTCTGGCTTTTGTTTTCATCTATACCACGGAATAGCCTGCACAACTCGCCAGACCAAGAGCTCAGCTGTACCAGCCAGCACAACATACATCCTATTCTACATCCAAAAAAATCAAAACTCTTACTGTACTCTAAAAGCTATCAATGTTGTCTTACTACTGAGCAGGCCATACTGAATAAATAACAAATCCCTCGGTTCTAGGAAGCATTAGATTCACAGCACGTATACAAAAATGTGATTATACTCTGCATGCGTACAGGTTCATCCCTCTCTACTCCAAAGAAGCCCTTGGGAGCATACTTCAAAACAAACGGATAGTCCAGGTGGCTTTTATACAGTCTGTAGGCTATGGTATGGTCATCCTTCTACAAAGCAAGCTTGAACTGTTCACAGCACCCATCTCTATCAGTCTGAGTGGGAGGAGATGGGCTGGAACTCTGCTAGAATTTGAAGCAATTAGAAGTTGAACAGAAAATGTTCTGGGCTCTCAGTACCAGGACCCAACACTGAACCTGTCTTGTATCATTAGTCCATTATACTCTGACAGAGGACACCACTTGGAACACAGCCTCAACTTACTAATCTTGGCTGTACCCCAGGTAGAAGTCATTACAGCTAGATTATATACATTTCTATCAAATTTTCCTACTATAGATCACCTATCATTTTCAAAAACTACAGCCCCACCATTAAAAGACATATCTTCAAGCCTATAACGTGTTCAAGAAGAACCCATATAAGAAAAAAAAAAGACTTCTGACATTTATAAGACCACACAAAAAGCCACAAGAGATGGAAGTACATTTTAAATAATGTTGGAGAAGATAAATCTTGTAAGCTGTTGACAGCCTGTGCAGGAGGTCACATAAGAGATCAGATCAATCTTGGGATCCAAGTTTGAACCAGCAACAGCTTTCTGTGCTATAACCATGAACCCCTGGAAAGTGAGGGGAAGATGATGACAAGAAGAGAGATGAAAATGCAGACTATTAATTAAAAAGTACATCTCAACACAAGACTATGTACATACTTTTCTCTGTGAACATAAGCAGAATTTACTAGGAAGAACAGCACCATTTCTGCCCACCGCAATTTTTTTTAGTCCTTCCCCCCCAAGTTCTGCTACAGTCTATGGCAGTAAGCCAACTCAATCTAATTTCTTCCTGTAGGGAAGGATTCATCTAAATCCCTCCCATCAAGTTCACCAGAGTAGCTTGCACAGTGCAAGAGCTATTGGGACACAATGCCAGGTGGAGGAAAGAGCTTCTGTATTGTTTGAGGACTGATTTGAGATTTACAGATAGCAAGTGTAATCTTGAATTTAACAGGGCATTGAGTGAAGTGTCATTATCAAACACATAATTCCTACATGCCGTGGTGTGGTCAGCCTATTATAGTTCTTGCATGGTCTTTTTCAGAACACAGTATACTGGTGACACCAACAAAAGTTTTTTTGAAAGCCTATGGTTGGGACAGAATGAGGAACCAATAGGATCTGGAGCAGGCAGAACTTCACAGGGACCTGGCAGAAAGCCACAATTTCTAAAAAACATCCTCTACATACAAAAACCTAAGCCCATCAAGAAAGACTTCTTCACCAAGTATGGATTAGATATACGACCTACTGGCCAATTACTAATAGAATCACTGCTCTCAGAGAAATCTAGAAGCCGATTTCCTCCCTGCTTAGAATTAATGTTTCTCCTTTCCAGAGGTAATATCCCAAATCAGGATTTTGGATAAAGCAGGTCAGAAAAAAGAATACATAGTGTTTTTACAGCAGGAGTGATAGTTTATGTTCTCACTTTTGGAGAGAAATTATTTTTCCTGTGAAAGAAGTCTTGTATTTTATAAAGGTAACCATTTATTATCATCATCATCATCATCAAGTAACCAGGGCAAGAAATTAACCTGGGTTGGGATTATTTTTTTTTTTTGGTAGCAAAATACAAGTTTAGAAGTAAAAACTCACATTAACAAGATACAAACTTTCCACCTGAGGTAGCATGAGCACAGCTTGAAAGCTGTTTAACAGTAGCACACACCACATAATTTTTTGTGGGAAGTGCAGTTAAGTGTGGTTTTCCTCAGGAACCCCCTACTAGAAGATAACAAGAAAGAGACAACAGGAAGTTTTCCCCACTTCTTACAAACTGGAATTTAGGTTTAACTCCTACTTGCTAAATTCTTTCACAGGCAGGAGGTAAGGAGATATTTAATGAAAAAGAAGCTTGCTTAACAGTCTTCATTTTCCCTATTTATCAAAGATACATTTCTGTGTGCAGATGAAAGTAAAATCAAAAGATGATAACGACATACCAAGGATTCTCAAGATACCACATGTAACTGAAACACATCACGTGTTAGCTTAACCCTTAATAAAATGGAGAACTGCAAGCATGCACATGGTCAGTTACTGTTGCTAAACTAATACACAGCAATAGGGTCACACGTCAGAGCAATTTGTTTTTCTACGCATACAGTTTTTAAGTGATACGAATGAAGGATGAATTATGCTTAAAGAAACAACTGGCTTTCGCCTTATTCATATCCTTTAGATTGAGTGACTATCTGCATAACTTATTCCACAAGCTTAAACACAGACCACAAGACACTTTTTCTATTTCCTAGTCTGGCCAAGTAGATTATCAGATTCTGAAACAAGCTTAAACTTTAGTTTCTTTAAGCAGACGTTCCACAAAAGGCAGAATCTGACTCCATTTCAAAGAATTTAAAGAGTTTGTGTTTTTCTTAAATGTAGATCAAACAATACTTAAGAATTCTATCACCCATAACGTCACTCAATTCTTTAAAAACATTCATTTAAGCTACTTCTCTGTGATTATTCATTCCAAAATTAAATAAAGAGCCAAACAATAATACAGATCTTTGTTAAAATTTTTATGCAAGTTTTATGGCCTCTTTCAGCAAAGTATCAATACATCACAGAATTATTACCTGTACAACAGGAAATATATGAATGAAATCCAGTCCCTGGATCTGATGTGGTTCCAAACGATGAGGACACTTCATTTTTGGTAATACCGACACAATTTTTTCAGTTAAGGCACTATTATAAAACAACAAAAACACACAGGTATATATGCTGCAATTTTCTTTTGTAAATTACGAATTATTTTTGCAAACACAGTTAGTAGTTAGAAGGTTCCCTCTAGTGGCTTCCATTGTATACAACTGTGAAAAGCAATCAAACTTTAATTTACAAAATAGCTTTTACATTGTACTATATATATTATTAGTCTGTGAAGAGGTGATTAAACACGTCTTGCAGGCTCCTTGCTTATGATTTCATTTGTAGTATTACACACAAAATTTTAAGATCTGCATGTCTGGTCAGATGAAATGCCCATGTAAGACACATCTACAAACACTGTTGCATATTATTATATATGCACACATAACGAAACACTATCTTTAAGAACAGTTATACTAAGTAAAAGTTATGCACTCAAAGAAAGTCCAGAATCAAATGTAAGGATTTAAAAATCTGTTTAGCAGAACTCCCAAAATATCTCTTGACATTACTACTGAAACTTTATGAGTTTAAATACATATTACACCTAAAAGCTAAATGCACAGTATACTTCACATGGTTTTGAGGTGAGTAAAACGGAATTTGCTGGCAACCATCTCATTCTACAGCTCAGGTAAGAGCTGGTAAAGTGAAAGGATTACCCTAACACAAGGGATTCATCTACAACAACATCATCCTACTTCCGCCGAATCCCTTATTTTAGGGCAAGGTATTTTTTTGCTGTCAATGCCGTCAAGCACATTTTTAAAGCAGGTGTCAGCACTGAGGGTGAACACTGTACTGGGAAAACTAAAACTATTTTTCCGTGAAGGGAAAAAATTAACTGGTCCTGTACTGAAGACAGTGGTATTCAGTATTGCCCAAATGGACAACTGATATTCTGGAAGAACAGAAGGGGAGCAAGAGATATGACACACAGACCAAAGTCTGGGAACAGAACCTGCAAAGTTATACTTAAGAGAACTGAAAACTTTGACATAATTCTTATAAGGCAATTTTCACTATAGCACCATACTAATTCATTTACTCTATTTCAACCCAGCAATTAAATAATGGGACATCATCAAAATGTCTTCAGAATAATACTGAGAAAACACAACTTAACTTTTCCTTATCTTGAGAACATCACAGAAGCACTGAGCCACCACCAATATAAACACTACATGGACATCAAAACAGCCTATGCTTGTGTGACTGAACACTTTAGATTTATAAATAAATCATTGTTGCTGTTTTGGGAGAGGAGCCTGATTTTTGTTTTGCCAGTTTTGCATTCAGTCAGCTGGAAAGATAACAGAACATTTTCAGAACTTAACTATTTCCTACCCTGCTGTTCTTAAGAGTAACAAAGATGGCAATTACAAAAACTTGGCAGTTATAAAAACTACCACCACCACCTTCATTCCTACTCTCTACTTAATTCTGTGCACTTAACAATGCTTTATGCAGTTAGCTGTCTGCGATGATTTGAGTGTCTCCAAGTTTAATGGCAATAACCACAAATCTTTATTTTTAAATGTGTTAACAGTCTTGCCGATGCTAAATGACTTTGAAGAAAACAGCACAGAAAGATGTTCTTTTCAACTACATTGAGCAAACAAGACTCTTCATGCAACTGTAACTTGACAGGCTATTCTTACTTCCTGCAAATTTTAATTATGGCTCTTTTATCACAGAAATGCATAAAGAAATAATGTAGTTTAGAATGTATTCCTTTTCTCAGCATAAACAATTTTTACAACCTCCCTAATACAGGAAATAGCTGGCTTATGAGCAAATTCCATGCATAAGAAATGAATCAAACCAAAATGGTCTCATCGGGTCACTATCAGGAAGGAACTCCTCCTCCTCAGTATGGGGCAGGTAACTGTTTCCGCAAGTGTCATGCTTTAAATTCTGTTTGCTGATGCCTACAATTCCAACCCAGAACCATAAAGGAGAATTAGAGGTTATTTACACAGCAAAACTGCAGACATAGAGAACTCAAGGAAGGTCTTTTAATGTTGCACTCCAGTTTCCAGCAGCATGGTCTCCCTCTGCCCTTTGTTTTGGCCTCTGCATCATCCCCTTGTGCCAGCACAAGCATCTGTGCAGCTGCAGAGAACTGGATCCAGGAACTGATTCATGTTAAAATTATTCCCCCCCCCCCCTTTTTTTTTTTTGTAGGTTTTAATCTGGATCAGTTCCCAATCCAGTTCAATGTGGAGCCACACAAATGCTTTCACTGCTTAGTAGGGATATAAGAACATGGCAACCCAGAGGGAAATAGTACTGCCTTTTTTGGAATAAGCTTCTTTCTGGTTTTAAGGTTTGTGGTACTACAGTCTGAGAAACTCAGAAAACAGTGCAATGTTTTGCAAATGGGTGGTCTTGCAAAGCAGGAAACTTGGACTCAAAATCCTTCTTATAAACAAGCAAATATCAGGTAACTCCCCCCCCATCCGCTTCTTCTTTTCTAAGAAGAAAAAAAATACCACACTTGCCATTTAATCAACTTACATTTTTTGACCGATAGTAGAGTTTTCCTGAAACAATAAATCAACATCGATATCAAAGCTGCAAGTAGTGATACACCACGTCATGCCGCCTACCACCTAGTAAAGGAGCAACAGCATGGTTAGTTCCATTTTAGTTTGAAGAGGTAAAACCAAATACAATTTAACGGCTTTATTTATTTTAGAAACTACAGCTTAGTATTTTCTCCATCCTCAGTATTCTTATTTCTGAAATACATATAGATAGAATACATATATCAACTTCTACATACAATACACATACACAAGACAACAGAAGAAAACAGTTAGTGACATTCTAAATTCCTCTCTTAGATTTATATATTAGTTTTGAAACAGCTCTCAGATTAAAAAAAAAACAATAGATAAAACATGACAGTATGTTAAATGTTATGATCTTTAAAAAGTAACCATATCAAAATTGTACTCAAGGATGATACTTTCTGTATTCATATAATTACCTTTATATATACAGCTTTGCTACTATTATTCTATGCTTGCTGACACATGCAACACCAAGTGCTAGGCACACTATCAACATAGTAATGGAAATCACCAGCTCTGTAGAAATCTCTGTATCAGGCCCTATCCCTACAGATACTTAGGCATATTTAAACTCCTGAGCCATTTCATCAACTTTACATAAATTACGTAAATATTTAAAGACAACCTTGCATAAACATATACAAGATAACCTAAAAGTATGCAAAGCCAAAGAACAGAAAAAAGGGATTAAAACGTGGAATAACTTACCAACATCACACAGCAAATTAGGGTGTTCTGTACAAGGTTTTCTAACACATTACCCCTCTCACATTTCCATCTGAAATAGTTGATCAGTATCCCTTTTACACTAGCAGCTAGATCATTTTCTATAGCAATGCTCATTTTTGTAAAGGTTGGGCATTGTCATGAAATGGTAACTTTGCAATCGTATTTAGGCAAGTATAAACCTGATGCATGCATTTCTACACATAAATGCAACAATATTACATCCTAAGGCGGTCTCCTTGAAACTACTTTGTGCCTGTGTGCACAGCTAAGGTCAGTAACGCCAAGCAGTTTGAAGAAACTAAAATTGTATTGCAAAGTAAGGCTGTGCTATGATCAAAGAAACAGCAGAAAACAGAAGAGTCTATTTCAAGGCTGCCATAGTTCTGTCTTTTCAAATCTTGGTTCAGGAATTTCTTAGAGAGTCAGCACTAAAACAATTCAGAAGTCTCTTTTCAACCTGAACTTTGCTCACTGTCGGTATCACATACTTCCTCTCTAGGACAATGAAAGGTTAACGTACATGACATTCTAAAGATATGTAAAACCAGCCCAAAAATAATCTCACTAGGCTAACAGTTACACAGAGCCTCTCAAGACAAATATTTCCTCATTTCTTATTAATGAATACTTCTTTTTAAAATTACCATGCTATCTCGAAGTATCAAGTCTTTCTTGCTCTTCGAACTGCAGTTGAGAGAGGGGCAAATTTCCCCATATATGACTCTAACTTAGGCCATAACACCCACAAAAAAGCACACCAGCAATTAGCTTGTATCCAATTGTCTCCTTTAAAACAGGCCTTGTTGCACAAAATCATTTTTCAAGACTGAGGAGGTCCTACCTGTCTGATACTGGGTCATTTGCAGAATTATTTACATAGGAAAGCCTCATATGTTCCAAGTATCTTTTTTTTTTTTTTTTCAATCCCCTAAAACCGCTAAACTAACTTGCAAAAAATATGTAATCCTCATATACTTAAAAAAGGTTTTTAAAAATACTGCATTGGTCTCACCTTGTCAAAGGGTGATAATCCTTTGATTCTTGCTCGAAAATACCCAGCAGCCACCAACAGTTCCAAAATTTCAGTCAACTTGATGTTTTGTTCCTCATCTTCTCTTGTTTCAACCTGACAAATGAACAACGCAACACTAATTCAGTGTTTCTCTTTCGTTCTTCAAACGAACGTTTTCCAAACTTTGTCTTTCCATAGACCACATATCAGGGAAAACCTTGACTTCCATTAGCAACTTGGTTGTTAATTTGAAAGCCATTAAAGAAATAGATAATGCACTTCTACATGGATTTAACACCATATCTTTTTCACCCAGTTAAATACTTTAATCTGCTTTTGCTGTTCAAACTCCTGGCCCACTGCTTGCCTCCACCTAGACAGATTGCTCCTATTGCCATAAGACAGTTAATTTATTCTCCATTTTGCACATTTCTTTCAATTTCAGGGTTCACAAAATTGTACACCTCCCATTAACGCTCCTACAAGCTTTTTACAAAAACAGGAGGAGAAACTCGTGTGGAATTCCGCTTTTTGGGTAATGCAATTTTAAGCAAACTCAAAGTACGGCAGTAACAAAAACTAAGCTCTGGCGGGCAGCCTGGGCAGTTTCAGTGCTCCAAAGCCTCATCAGCACAGCACCCTTTCAAGAGCGCTTTTGTCCCCATGGGACAGGGTGAAACCCCACAGCTCCAGGAATATACGTGACTTACTAGAGGCAGCGAGCACCCACACACCTCAGACCCAGGCCGGAGAGAGGGCTAACAGGGCTTTCGGTCTCCCCCTCAGCGGCTGCAGGGACCCACCTACGCACCCTCCCCACCTCCCTCTTCCCCAAAACCTCTTCGACAGCCTC